TGTTCAAATGGGCCATGGACCTATCGTTTTAACAAATCATAGTCGGTGTAAATCAAGAGAAAATGAGGGGGCAGAGAGATAGGCTCCCAGTCCAGGCCTTGGGATATGTCAATTTCGCTAAAGTTATTTTAGGGCTGCCGAAAACAGAGGGAGTGCAGTTCCTTTTACGTCCGCATGATACCATTCTTTAGGTGATCAGGCAATTTAGAAACGGCGGTCCACTGGGAAATGCGCTCTGTCGATAGAAGCGCCTTTTACAGGTACATTAGATATTAGAGAGAGTTGGTATTTCTGGATGGATAAATCAAAGTGGGAGATTTATTTTTACAACTCCTTGGGAATAAAATAGCACACGCAGACGGGCGGAAATGCACTTCCTCATTTTCTCTTGGTGTAAATATATCTTACCCAAACCGCAGGATTTGGTCATTCACGTTATTTTGCAAAGGGAGGCAAAAAAATGTGGCAACAGACATAACACATATATGAGAGCCACAGCACTGCAAATCAGTTCTTTAATTTTGCGACGTTATAGTCTTGCCTTTAAGTCCGCATTGGAGCCACTGGCCCATCGGGTCTGAGCTTATCCCGGTTTCTGTAGCATGAAGCGACTAGGAATATTTCTACTCTCCCCTGGATGAGATGCTAGTCCACTGCTGGGTTATCCCAGCATTAAATTCGCCGGTGTCCATTTATACACCTGGGTGAAGAGAGGCTGTGAGAGTAAAGTGTCTTGCCCTGTTCTCGACCAGGAATCGAACCCCGACCGCTTGATCCGGAGTCGAGCGCACTAAACATGAGGCCACCGCGCATCCCTAAGTCAAGGTTGGCCTAAATTCTACGGAATTTTTGGAAACATTGTATCGTATAACTAGACACGGTTACGAAAACTGATTTCAAGAACGTCACCTGAAGTAAAATCCCACCATATAACACCAACTGAATTGTCTCTCAGTATCGTCAGACACCGCCTTCTGGAAAAAGAAGAAAACTTGTGTTACGACTTTATTGCAATAAATTTTACCAAAAGAAATTATGAACATGTTCTTAGCGAGGTAAATATTATCAAGATTGTTAATAATGGTTCTTCTACTGAAATAATCTGCTCTGTAAGTTATTAAGTTCTTTATGAAATTAATTGGCGTTAAAACTACGGTGAAGAAGGAATTAATAAAACTGTAACAACACGTGATAAGCGTCATTTATTCACTTTGACTGCAGTGTAGAAAAAGCTAAGTCGCCTCTGCAAAATACCTTGCTAGTACTTTCTTGTACAATTCGTACCTTGAGAATGGCTTCAAAATTTGCTGCAAGTATTCTGGAACTCCTTTGGCTTACAAAAGCACGTGTTCTACAAGGGTTCACTTGGAAGTGAAGTTCGACTTTTTGCAGGCATTAGATCGACGTTGTTTCGTATAGCAGCTTTTAACGCAAGAAAACTGTGCCTTTCTTGAAAGTCTACACTCTTCTTTCGTGCCAAGGAACAAGACAAAGCTGAAACTTTACATTTTGAACATCAACGATAAAAGTATAACCGAACTGAACGCGACATGACACTTGTTTCCCCGCAATATAAATTTTCAATCTAAATTTTCAAATGCACGCACCAAGTTGCGAGTATTTGATTGGTTTGTCTACTGTTTACATAACTCTTATAAAGCGCGGGATTTTCAAATGTATTTTTCAGATAACTGGGGCGCTTTCCATGGGCGCTTGGCATTCGACGAAAAATTCCAGAAATTTCGAAATGGACGCAAATGGTAAATAAATTTCCTGAAAAAGTTTCAGCAAAATCCGAATACTTCCGAAATGCAAACCATTGAACAGAAAATGCCGGAAATTCTGGGAGGAAAATTAAATGGAATGGAAATTCAGGTAGCAAATTTCCAAAAATTTGGGTAAATTATATTCACCACGCTATCCATTTGAATGCGCGTAATGTATACGAGAACAACTTATTTTTCTCAACGTTCTACTTTCGGTTTATCAGCCTTTTCCTATCGCTTCTTTCGATTCAGGGCTCATGTCGACCGTTCCGTTTTATTAGAATCAAGATGTTTTTAATGCATAGTGATCTCAGAAGGATACAGTTTGGTCCAAAAACATTCACATTACATCAACACAGTGTAGAGCGTTGGTTTTTTTTCTGCATATCATCTGCTTGGAGTCGCTATGTTCCTTTCGGATCTTCAAGGTTACCGTTCAAATAATGCGAGGACTAGTGCAGATATTGAGTTAAACATTATAAGTTCTGTTACATGCACGATGATTCAGAGCCAGACTAAGATCATTTGATGTCTAACAAACAGGTAGCTCAGGGTACAAACCTTACTGAGTGAATTCTTATTAACTGAAATGAGCTTCCTTAAAACAAATACTTAAAGAGAAAGAAATACCGTGAGGTAAAGTTCCGAAAGTAACGACTCCGAAAAATAGCAATGACCCTAGTTTCTGAGTTGTTAGCATATTCTAAAGGTAGCAGTCTTCCGAATGGACTTGAACCGTCTCAACGTCAAAATTGCTAAATTGATGTTTAACAACAGACTGCAATGTAAGTGATATCATATATGTAATTTATTTAGAGGCTAGGAACCTGTTTATTCAGTGCTGGTAGACCAGCTTATCGATTCTATCAGAAACTACTATTGCTGTTGTTGTTTTTCTTTTTTTTCCGTGGGTAACAACTATAAGAAACAATTCCATGTTAATGAAAAAGTCATTGAAGTACTCTGTACACAGACCCTCTTTTTTAGCTCTAACTCGTGGAAGGCGTGAGCAAAAGAAAAGAGCTGGGAATTAAACACGCGCGAACCAATCTCGCGCGCTCGCCTCGCATGCTGAGTTTTTTCGAAGATGAAAACAAGGAATGGCTGTTGACAGACTACAACTGAAACAAATATTAATAATTGACAACCAATGAACAGTTTGTCTCGATTTGAAAAAGCACTGATTCCAAACCTGCTATATGTATAAGATACAAGAATGATTTACTTCAAAGTTACAGCTCTAACTTAGGATCCGGTTTCTTGTTTAATTTAAGCACTCTACCTTTGGCTGATGAGAAATTAAAATTTTTTATATGTTTATCAAAGTTTAGAGATTTTAATTTTAAGCTGCATCAACTGATTCAACAACCTTCAACCTTTAATTCTAGCTGTAGAATGTACAAGCTACCGAAGTCTGACCAGCGGTGACCGGAAAACCACGTATATCAGGAAGTCCTATTTGTGTGACGACAACCTCAATGGCTGGTATCGTTTCCAAGGAGCTGCTAGAACTAGAATACCTACCTCATGTCCACCGAAAGAAAGGTGTAATACTCATGCAACCGGCTGGTTAAATGGTGGGCATCCCACAGTGGCTGACGGCTAAGTCACCAGGCAGGTCTGCTTTTACTGCTATTCAAACTGTTGTTGGCAAACCACCAACATTGAAGAGAGAAACTGCGGCCCTTCAGTTCTATGTTTACCGCTTCAGTTGTGCACCAGGCTGTAAGTACCGCTACTGTAGCAGTGACTAATTGTTTCCCTCAGATCTTGATAAACTCCAGGTTTTGATAAACTCCAGGTTCTGTGTATCGATAACTTTGGCTGAGGGAACCCCGTCTATCGGCCAAAATTAAAACCTACTTAGCACCTCCCTCGAATAAGCGCCCCTCCCCTACCTCTGTTTTATGCAAGAGTACTGTGTACTGATACAACAATTTTTCAATCACAAGCAAGTGACTACCGACTCATTCAAACACTGCGAATTGACCATCGAAACGAGATTTGCCTTGTGCAGCAGGCTTAAACCGGCTAAACTGGTTATATTACGTACTTCTTCAAGAGAGACAGGATCCTCCTGAGACTTTTGAGGGACTGGCACATACTTATGTTACAAAAAAAACCCATCATATCTGATCACGATTTGGAAAAAAAAAAAAATTAAACAAGCGCCGACACCCTCCCCCCGGGCGCTAATTCGGGAATTTACGGTATTTGAAATAAATAAAATCCCCGGCCTAACCAATCACATTACTGATGAGAACTATTTGTCATCAACCTCCCCTTGACGACCCATTAATGAGACAGCAAGTCTGTTCCCCACTCGTGGCCAGGCCCCAAGGCCTATAGGATCGATTTCCGCCGCTCTCTTGAGTCGCGGGCTCCTTTCCCGAACAACGCGCGGCTAGTAATTGAGTCTACAAGGCCTATGGCGGCTTTAAAGTCAACCAAACATTTATGAGAAAGTAGAAGACAGCATTAGCGTTTCTCATCCTTATGCTTCACTCACAGGAGCAGAAAGGATGAATGAGTGAGCAGTTAGTGTTATACAATACCGTTGATAACTTCCTTTCGATTCACGATCGTCTAAATAATGACAAGTACAAATTCCGACTCGTCTAAGTATCAACAAATAGTTTGATATAAAGACAAACTGACTAACAGCATCAGTCTGCAAAGGTCAGGAAACAAAATCCCGTGTCAGATCAGTTGTCAATACTTGACGGGAAAGCCAAGATGTTAAATCTTTTCATTCTATTTCATTGACAGTTCATATTGGAAGAACCCGCCGGTCTTCATCTGAAGCTAGCACAAAACCAGACGAGCTTACTATGGAGTCAGTCACAAGTGAGATAAACAAAACATTAAACTCTCTAACGTTACGATCATTCTGTTCATCCAAAGAACAAATCTGCGTGCAAGGACCGCCGGGAATGCAGGGTCCAAAGGGATCACGTGGAAGAAGAGGACCGCGTGGAGTCACGGGAAGGAAAGGGTCTAGTGGCAGCAAAGGAAATCAAGGCCCACATGGAAAGCAGGGAATTGTGGGGCCACCGGGTGAAAGGGGGAAACAGGGAATTATGGGGCAGACGGGTCAAAAGGGGGAACAGGGAATTATGGGGCCGCCGGGTCGAACAGGGGAACAGGGTAATAGTGGGCCAACGGGTCCAAAGGGAAATCAGGGAATTACAGGGCAACCGGGTTTAAAGGGAAAACAGGGAATTATTGGGGCGCCAGGTCCGAAGGGAAATCAGGGAATTATGGGGCCGCCGGGTCTGAAGGGAAATCAGGGATTTATGGGGCCACGCGGTCCAAAGGGAAAACAGGGAACTATGGGGCCACCAGGTCGAACGGGGGAACAGGGTATTACGGGGTCACCGGGTCCAAAGGGAAAACAGGGAAGTATGGGTAGAAAGGGGGAACAGTACGTAATAGGAGTCCCGGGTTCCAGAGGGTTTCCTGGTGCAAAAGGAGAACCCGGAGATTCGTTTTCACCTCCCACGATAGTGGTCTCCCCGATGAAGCAATCAGTCGCGAACACGCATAATGCAGTGTTTCAGTGTTCCGTCGGCGGAAATCCCAAGCCGACTGTCACGTGGTTAGGAAAGAGAAGCACTCTCTTGACAAGCCGAGATGGTAGATTAGAAGTGCGCCGGGTAACTTTTGATGACGCAGGAGAATACACTTGTATTGGAAGAAACTTGCTGGGCATTACAAGCCAGACTGCTGTTTTAAACGTAGAACGTAAGTTTCAATTTTTGTTGAACTCATGGATGTAAGGCACAGTGACCTAATGCTTAGAAAGTTGGAATTAATATTCTTTGAGTTGAGTTTCGATGCAGGTTTGAGGCCTTTGTTTTTGTTTTGTAGTGAATTGTTTTGTTTTTCCGTAAGTTACTTTTGTTTTGCCGTGAACCGATTTCGTTTCGCCGTGAACTGAACCCCAGCCGTAAATGTTCTTTTGCCAACTGCCCATGCATGAGAGTCAGTACACTTCTCAAATTCAATCGCTCAGCTGACGTCCGAACTCGTTCCAGGCTTTCCTGTGAATTTCGCTTGTCTAAAGCTCACGCACATGATTGGAAAACCACCATATATTTTATTTTAGCTATGAAGGCGCAACGTTGAAGACAAACTATCAACACTATTAGAAAGAGCGTACATCGAAACCTCTCGTCAACTTCCCGTATTGTTTTCATTGAAACAGGACGGAATCAAACTTTTCAATCGTAGTTTTCACCAGCATAATCATGTGACAAAAAGTAATAATGAGCCTTTTAAGTAAGCGAAATTAATTACATAATCTACAAAATCTCCCTTGTTGATGAAGATAAACGCTATTAAAACTCGACCCTGCCTCATTTTCTCTTGGTGTCACCAGTGACCCATATGAGATCAACATCGGAAAAAAAATGCTTCACTTTCGTTTTTTCCCTTATTTGGAGTACAGGAAGTTGACCAATGTTTTTGTTTTCTGGAAAGTACTTTCTTGTGCCCTTTCAAATGAGATATAGAGTGTATACTTGGCAAAATGTTAAATAAAGAATAAGATGTGTTCAATTTGACGTTTTTTTGGCACAGTACAGAGTTGAGTTTTAAAGCCCTTTGGAAAATTTCGCATGCTCTGGTTACATAGGGTATATCGTCATAAGAATTTCTAACAATACACAACCACGTTTGAAGAAAGATTGGATAGGGCCCATCAACTCGCGATCGTCTGGTCTTTCACTTTTTTCGCTAATGCTAATAACCGTCTTAATTTTGAGACAGCAGAATTTAACCTTGCAATCTCTAAATACTCCATAGCATTCAGAAGAATTCACTCTACAGCAGTGAGATAAAACCCATTTTTAGGCATAGTAACGTTATTTACAATGACGCCTTCAGTGGAAGTTTGTGAAAAAAAAATATATTTCATGTTAAATTTTATTTCTTGATAATGTAGCACTCTTCCAGATTTCAAATTGAGAAACTTGGTTCACGTTTAACATATTTTTTCCAGATGTAGAGAATGCTTGAAAGGTTCTTATTATAACTATAATATTATTCTTAATCATTATTAGTGAAATGCTGTTGAACTGTCATGTGACATCTTGTTAACAGCTTTTTTTTCTCCTCTAAAAAGTGCTTCTTATTAAACTCAACAAATTACTCATTTGACTGTGTGTTATGTACAGAGAACAAATAATTTTATCAGTGTGTTACTTTTGATTTATCAATATTTTCTTATTGCCTCTTTTGAAGGGAAAAAAAACTTTCATGGGTCATGTTGGCCGATTGATCGTTTTAAACACAAAGTAATTCTAATGCACGGAGATCTGGAAAAGGAACCATTTTGGTGGGGAAACACCGCATTACATCAACAGAGAGAAGCGTATTGCTTCCAAAATATGTATCGATCATCATGTAAAACAAATAGCAGATGATGTAAATGTCAATCTTATTTATAGTGATCATGCACTTAGCTATACAAGCATTAAGCTTAACTAGTTTATAGGCATGCCACTAAAACGAAGGAAACAAATATTTCGAATAAGCGCACAAATCCCAACTGGTAGGAGGCAGACCAGTTGGCTACCTAAAAAGCGTGACCGAGGATTAAGTTTTTTAAGAATTATTGTATCTGTTATTTCCATTGCGTCTTAGACAGCTTAAGTTCCGTTTGGGCTCGATATTTTCGGAGGTTAGTTAGTTACTTTCGGAATATGCTACGGCCATTGCCGCTATTTTCGAGGGATTGTTATTTTACGGTGTTTCCTTTCTGTTTGACATTTCGTTCATTAACGCTCACTAAATTTGATAAGAATTACTATGCAACATCCGCACTTAACCTTTGAGCTGCACGTACCGGTATAATGGGATGATATTCTGGCTCTAAGCTATCCTGCACTGATGGTACCTCAGTACTACTGCATGTCTAGAACTGACAATTTGTTAACCTCATCACACACTAAGTCGCCATATTATTTAAAAAATAACCTAACAGTATAAACCGTTGAATTGATGCTTTAATCTAGACTGTAAATGATATCATTAATACGATTATTGCACATCAGCGGAAAATTGCGCTCGGTCTTACAATGTAGTCTTGGAAATCCTCAATTTAAGCTAAATATGCACGGCTACACCTTGATAACACAGCCCTCCTTGACTCCACGAGAAAGAAAAAACACTGATTTCTTCATGGAGGGGAGGGACTAATAGGCTCTTTACGCACGCCTGGTGGCCCAGCTTCTGAGTTATACCAGAAAGAGCTACTACTTTTTTTATAGCGGAGCTCCGGCAGGCCACCAAGCGGACCCCCATATTCATATAGGAAAGAAAAGGAAACCCATTAATTGATTTTCTCATTGTTACTATGGCTAGCGGTATTGCTCGTGGGCGCGTACGCACGACGGCGACGGTGACGGCAACGGGGACGGAGTCGCGTAAGATGGCGGGCATACTCTGGCTAAAAGGTTTGCAGAGACATGAAACCTTGATTTATAGCCTCCTTCTTTGATATTGGACATCCATGTTCTGGTCAATTGAC